AAGGAAAATTAAGTCTCCCTCCTACCCTGTCCCCCTAAATCAAGCAGTTTTATGACTGCATTGTATTCCATTATATAGCTATGTTGGCCGCACGCTAATACAAACAATTAAGTAATATAATACAAAGGTCATTTTGCACCTGTGCAAGTATTTTTACAGAATCAACTCTATGAGTGGGATTGTAGGGGTAGACCGACAATAATGCAAAGTGCCCTCAGATGCCAGCAGACTGCCTTCTTGTCCGTGCAGTTGTAATTTTGATAAATAATGCAAAGTGCCCTCAAGCAGTTCGTACTCTCAGCAGTTAAATATGAAAGTCCTTTTCCCTGTTCTTACTAGCTCTGGTTTTGATATTTGATAGTCTTATAGGTGGAAAAACATAATTCAGTTCACGTGAAAATGGGAGTTTTCATGGTCCATAGCCATTTATATATTTACTTTTCTATGAGCTGTTTCTTTTACCTATTTTTTAATTGGGTTTTGGTGTTTTGATACATAGGGCCAGGGTTATGTGTGTAAGAGAGAAATTAGCCATTTGTGGTGTAAGTTGTAAATAATTATTTCTTCACATTGTTTTTGGTGACTTTTGCCATGCAGCAGTTTTTTTTAAAGTGCAATCTAATTTGTCTTTATTCTTACGGCATCTGAGTTTTGTGCTGCTCTGAGATTATAAATTCTTCCATGATTTTTTAACTATCTTAGACTTTTCAAATCGAAACTCAAAGATATTCCAAAAAACTTTTTAACCTTTTTAATCTTCTTCACCTGTAAAATAATAAAACAAGTTTGTTTTCTTTAGTTTGTGTTGCCTATTTAGAACTCTCCCTATTCAAATTGTCCTCAACATGTGTTAGTTGTTTGAAACTCAGAATATATATGTTTCTATAGAAACAGTATTATGATTGATGAGGTTTCCTGTAGTCCTAATCTGAGTTGAGGCTACTGTGTTAAAACTGTCTTACAAAATTCAGGAGAGAGAACAAATACATTCTTCTGTTTTTGTTGGTAGGTGGCTTAAAAGGGGTTGGCTTTGCAATCTTCCCATTACCTCTACCCTGATCTGCAAAACCTACAGACACTGTCCTTTGGGGAGGATAGGCCTCTTAACGCTCCTATCTCAGAAGTGGTTCCTGCTCAAATTGTTTGTCTTCTGTCTTCCTATTGAGCCAATTATTAAACACCTCTTTGTTAGTACCAACCATAGGCCAGAGAGTGTTTTGTGTACCTTTATGCATATTTTCTTAGTTAATAATATACCTACTAGGTATTAAAAAGTATTCTACTAAGGTCAACTGACTGTTGCTTATAGTCTCGAAAGTATTTATTTGGAGAAGTTTACTCAATTCAACTTTCTAGTGGTCAATATTAGTAAAGGTTGAGAGGGGCTAACCCCGGACCCTTTGGTTATTTCTCCCTTTGTCCTTAATAGAAATTGCCCAGTGCTTTCTGCCGGATAAACAGGACCCTCTTTGTTAGAAATGTGATGCCAGCAGACTGCCTTCTTGTTAAGTTGTAGCCCAGAATATCTGAATAATAACAATAACTCCTCTGAATGTATAGGGTGAACAGTTAGTTATTTGTTCACGTTAGCCTTTCAGAATTTCTTAGGCCGCTCTCCATCAGTCACATGTTGATTGGCCGATGGGAAGTACTCTCCATTCACAGCCCCAAGCAACACCTGTGCTGAATTGATGGAATCTCCTGGAGATCCAGTCTGTATAAATAAGTAGATACAAAAGTTTTATTGCTCTCATCTTCTAACTCACCTTCTGTTTTGGAGCAAAAGCAGTAACATTGACTTACAGTCAAAAGTTACACCATCAACTTAATCTTATAGTTCATTATAGATGTAAACTTACAGCAGCACTCTTTATAGTTAAAACTTTTGAGTTTTACAGTAGCATAAATTCAACTCATTGTAGTAATTTCTTGATAGCCACAAGCCACCCCCCCCTCCCCTTGGCCCTTCTTACCTCATCCAGTTACTGCACTAAGTGCTTTCCTTGCAGTTTTGCTTTTAGCCACTCCCCACCAAGTCTTCTCAAATGAATATAACCTCAGATTCGAGTAAACCTGACTCAAAAAGTGTTTTCATGATAGGTACCTAGGATCCAGCAGTAGGGGAAAAAAAAAAAAAAAACACATTTCTTTGTGAGTTTTACATTTTGTTGGAAGGGTGAATAGATCTGGGTTAAGATCCATAAGTCCAATGACAGGTTGAATAAAGTTATGTTGAATATGTTATAATTGAAGTTAGCATAATCAGCTCCTTTCAACAAAGTTGTATTAGCAGTATGGGGCTAGAATATGAAAGTCTTGAAAAGCTCAGCAAAGAAAGGTTAGATGCAAAGCAATATGTATAAGAAAGGCCAGTGTTTTTATACAGAAAACTGATCTTTGTTTCAACACATGTCATATGGACACCTCAAATGCCTATACTTCTAGTCAACCACCCAGTGGTTTGGGAATGTTTAGGAAGGGCCCACAAAGCAGTCCTGAGGATAGGAACCTTCGCAGAGGATGAGACATCTAAACTAAAATCTGAAAGGCCAGCAGGAATTAAGCAAGCAGAGGTGGGAGGAAAGAGGCAAGGACAAAGGAACATTCTAGTCATGGAAGCAAGGGAGCATGGATAGGAGTTTAATATGGTAGAAGCACACCGCAGAGTTTAAGAAGTGAGGAAGGGGAGGAGCACCTGGGTGGCTCAGTGGGCATGATCCCGGGAAGAGCTCTGCATGGAACTCCCTGCTCAGCAGGGAGTCTGCTTCTCCCTCTGCCTCTCCCCCACTCCAGGCGCTCGCACGCTGTCTCTCTCAAATAAATCATAAAAAAAAAAGAAGTGAGGAAGGGGAAAAGGATACCGGTAAAGAAGGGCCTTGTGTGCTACATTGTTTGGACTTTATCCTTATGGTAAAAGGGAGCCATTAAAGCACTTTATGCAAAGAAGTGATCATGTGATGTGTGTTTTATTTAGAAACCATCATTTGGGGGCGCCTGGGTGGCTCAGTCGTTAAGCATCTACCTTCTGCTGATGCCAGGTCATGATGCTGGGGTCCTGGGATCGAGCCCCGCATCGGGCTCCCTGCTCTGCTGGAAGCCTGCTTCTCCCTCTCCCACTCCCCCTGCTTGTGTTCCCTCTCTCGCTGTGTCTCTCTCTGTCAAATAAATAAAGAAAATCTTTAAAAAAAAAAAAAAAAAGAAAGAAAGAAACCATCATTTGACTAAAATGAATATAGAGAATGGGTTGGAGTAAGTTGGGACTGGAAGCAAGGAGACCTATGCGGGGTGGGGGTTGCAGTTATACAGATTAGAAATGATGTATATAAAGACTTAGTTTTTATACATTATTAATTTATTGGGGGCTAAAAAAAAAAAAGTACCCAAGATGTGACATGTGTCTTTAAGAGCACCTGGCCTCTTCCTTTTGAGGAACCTAGGAATAACGTGATATATTCATGAGAACAAATCTATTCTAGCAAGCTTCACATTAAGATCTTTGAAAAGTATAACCCCAGAGTTCTATGCCTTAGTTGTCTATTTGACATTTTGAGTTACACTTTGACGCCCTCTAATCTCACATAGTTGGCACTGGTAATAGGTGATTACTCTAAAAAGTTAATTGAAGAATTATGGATAGTTATGAATATGCATCTCAGATATTTTATTTTAACTTAAATGCAGTTAGGATTTGGGCCAAAGGCTTCTACTGAGAATGGGTCTGCCAATCTGAGTAGTCTTTTAATAAAATCACATCCAGGATATGCCCATGTTCCATACAATTTCCAATATGTTTCTTTTGAATTTAGCAAGAATTTTACAGTGAATGCAGAGTCATTCTGTGTTAGTTTTTTACCCCAGGCCTTTACAGTTGTCTCACCCATACATAATTCAACAACAACCTTTTTTTTTCTTTAAGGTACACATCTTTTATTGAGATTTTCTTTTCTTTTTTTTTTTTAAAGAATGTATTTATTTATTAGAGAGAGGGAGAGCATGAGCAGGGGGAGGGGCAGAGGGACAAGCAGACTCCCCACCAAGCATGGAGCCTGGACACAGGGCTGATCCCAGGACCCTGAGATCATGACTTGAGCCAAAGTCAGATGCTTAACTGACTGAGCCACCCAGGCACCCCTTTATTGAGATTTTCAAAAATAATCAGCTTCATTTTCATACAAGTACAGTGTCTTTTTGCATTCATATTTCACTGATTTATGTCAAAGTTAATTTAGTTAATGCATGAGTACGACTAGAATAACCAGATATGGGGATATCTTAGTAAGCCTCAAATTCAGTTGATGCGAGCAGATGTGAGATGACCTTTGAGCCATGAGCATTTTGCTCATCATGAATTTTATAGAGGAAAGAGTAATGTTAAAATATGACAATTAGGTGGAAGTCCATTAAACAACTTCTGTCTTAGAGTTGTGCAAAATTTGAGGTTCTCGGACTGACAAAAAGACCATAGATTTTGAAGTTAGAGTAGGTTTAACTGTTCTCATAAGCTTCACTTTCCTTAGCAATAAAAGGAGTGAAGTAACCTAGTTCCTAGGGTTATTGTATAGATTGAATGAGAGAGTAGATATTCAGTGTCTTACATGTGCATTAGTGGTTTTTCTTTGCCACCAACATCCTGCAAGGGAGTTGATTATTCCTGTTCTGAATGTCAGACCTGCATATGGTATAGCTTGCCTGTACAGAGTAGTGCGTGCATCATTTGCAGTGACTGATAACAAGACGGAAACAATAGGCGTGACTTCTAAGATCTCCCAGTGGAGGTGCCGCCTATTCCTAAGTGAAAGACCAGCAGACAAGTATGCCTGAGGATGGGGGAGCATTTGTGGAGTTAGGAAAGCTTTCTCATGATCTAGTGACAGGTTTTTATGATAAAGAAAAAAAACTGCCCACAAGCAGACATTTAGCTTGAAAGGAGCTTTCTGTGATTTGTCTTTATCAATATTGACATAGATGTTGATTCTTGTGAAATATTTTCTTTCTAACAGGTTGTAAAATTAAAGCACTGAGAGCCAAGACAAACACATATATCAAGACACCTGTTCGTGGTGAAGAGCCCATTTTTGTTGTCACTGGACGGAAAGAAGATGTTGCCATGGCCAAAAGAGAAATTCTCTCAGCTGCAGAGCACTTCTCCATGATCCGTGCATCTCGAAACAAAAATGGTCCTGCCCTGGGAGGGTTGTCATGTAGTCCAAATCTGCCAGGTCAAACCACCGTTCAAGTGAGGGTCCCCTATCGTGTGGTAGGATTGGTCGTTGGGCCCAAAGGAGCAACTATAAAGAGAATTCAGCAGCAGACCCACACATACATAGTAACTCCAAGCAGAGATAAGGAGCCTGTCTTTGAAGTGACAGGGATGCCCGAAAATGTTGACCGAGCGCGAGAAGAAATAGAAATGCATATTGCCATGCGTACAGGAAACTATATTGAACTCAACGAAGAAAATGATTTCCATTACAACGGTACCGACGTAAGCTTTGAAGGTGGCACTCTTGGCTCTGCGTGGCTCTCCTCCAATCCAGTTCCTCCCAGCCGCGCAAGAATGATATCCAATTATCGAAATGATAGTTCCAGTTCTCTGGGAAGTGGTTCCACAGATTCCTACTTTGGAAGCAATAGGCTGGCTGACTTTAGTCCAACAAGCCCATTTAGCACAGGAAACTTTTGGTTTGGAGACACACTACCATCTGTAGGCTCAGAAGATCTTGCAGTTGATTCTCCTGCCTTTGACTCTTTACCAACATCTGCTCAAACTATCTGGACTCCGTTTGAACCAGTTAACCCACTGTCTGGCTTTGGGAGTGATCCCTCTGGTAACATGAAGACTCAGCGTAGAGGAAGTCAGCCATCCACTCCTCGTCTGTCTCCTACATTTCCTGAGAGCGTTGAACACCCACTTGCTCGGAGGGTTAGGAGCGACCCCCCTAACTCAGGCAACCATGTTGGCCTTCCGATATACATCCCTGCTTTTTCTAATGGTACCAATAGCTACTCCTCTTCCAATGGCGGTTCCACCTCTAGCTCACCTCCAGAATCCAGACGAAAGCACGATTGTGTGATTTGCTTTGAGAATGAAGTTATTGCTGCCCTAGTTCCGTGTGGCCACAACCTCTTCTGCATGGAATGTGCCAACAAGATCTGTGAAAAGAGAACGCCATCATGTCCAGTTTGCCAGACAGCTGTTACTCAGGCAATCCAAATTCACTCTTAACTATATATATATACATAAATACTATATCTCTATATGGACTCGTAAAGGCATGGGTATAATGGTACCCCCAGTAAACTTCCTAATGAATTCTTATGACTGTTATCAGGCTTTATTGGGATTAGGCTAAAGTTGTTAGTAAACTTATAAAAGGCTGCTATGGTAACACTAAACCTAAGTGGTCTCTTGTCTATTAGTTTGGTTTGAATTATTAATACTATCCTGTAGACCCAGAGACATAGCTTGTGTAAGAATTGTTAAAACTGAAGTTCAGCTTGGCTGAGTGAAGATAATCATAGGTTGTGTGAGCCTATGAGAAAAGTTTATACGTCTAGATTTCAAAACCGTGGGTCCCAAAGCCTAGCCACATTAAGAGTTTATGGAGGGTACTTGGCATTACAGATGATTCAGACACTTCCAGTGCTGCCTTCTTTACACTGCCAGTTTTGACAAAACAGGTTCGTTTTTTATTTTACAACAACTTATGCCTAATTCTGCAGGATTGCAAGTAACTTTTTAATGCATTGTGATGACTTATTGGTAATAATAGGGCTGATGGCAGTTTACTCGATCACTGGTTATAATTTGGGACAAAAAACTGCTACATTGACCTTCATCTCGCCCAGAATGCTCACGGCTGGTATGATCAGTGGATCAGGAATGCAATTGTGCCGATTGTGAATTCCTACCCATTGCCTCCCTTGGTGAATGTGGAAATGGCCAGCTGGGTTTTCCCATTTCAGGAAGGGCTTTGGGATGCACCTGTATTGGCTAGTAATTAAGGATGCGAACATTCCATTCATTCGTCTGATCAAGCTGTTGATTAATTTTTAGACTATAGATCAAAATGTGAAACATTTTATGTTCAATCCATATGTCTTGCACATTATAAATATATTTTTATTTTTTAGTAATTTAGGGGAGGGGGAGGGAGAGAGGGATAATAATGCCCTTAGCATAATTTACAAAAGCAGCTGTGATGACCTTCAATCAGTTTACTTCATTTCAAAACTATTTCCAATCACAAGGAAAGATTTCTTTAAGATACACTTTTACATTTCACCTGTGGATGTCTATAACTTCATCCTCAGTATGTTCCCAAATCTGTGCTGGCATTGAAAGGACAAAACAATATACTGGTGGGTTTTTCTACTAATTATTTTTTGAAGCGTTATTTTCCCAACACAAAAGAGCTTTTTTTCTCAATATAACAAAAAATTGAAAATCCTATGTGTATTGAATAGTAAATAGACAAATTTTATTTTTTATTTCCACTTGAAGAGTTACATTTCGTATAAAAGTTTACAAATAACGGTTTTTATTTTGATTTTTTTCAGTATAAAAATTGCCTTGATGGCATATTATGATGTAATGCTAATTGCTTGTAGGATAGTTAAATGTCAGTATTGAAACCTAATCTTTAGCTGCCGTCTTGTAGATACGAACGAATGTTCACCAAGCATGTATTTTGTATTTTGTTGCATTGTACACGGCAACTAATAAGCCAAGGAATCGACATATATTAGGTGCGTGTACTGTTTCTAAAAACCACAAACTAAGAATGATAAATTATCAATATAGTTTAGTATTTGCTAATTTTACTACACTCTTTTGTTATGTATATGTAGGGAAGTCATAGGGATTATAAATTCAATTTGAGTAAAGTTTAAAACCATATATTTTATGATAAAGGGCCTTTAACTTAAGATGGCCAAAGCACTGATATTATATATTTGCTGTAAAGAGAATTATAAGAGTTTTATTTTTCTGATATTAAAAGTTACTTAATAAAGACTTGTTTCCATTAACTTGAATGTATTCTCCTTGGTGTTTTTCATGCAATCATTAGTTTAGACTGGAAGATAGCCATTTGCTAGAATTGAACATTTTCTTTTACAAAGTTTCCCCTCTCCTAAGCCAGCTCCCTGTGTTCATTCTTGGAGTGATTTTTTTTTTTTTTTTTTTTTTTAGTGTGTTCTTAGTGTTAAATGTGTCACTTATGCTCCTATCCAAATTTAGCTTTTCCTTTAAATGAGTGTAAAATTAGAGATTTAGCTAGTTTTAGATTGTTTAGTTGCTTGTGTAGTCGACCACAATTACTATTAACCTAATTGTAAATAATGACTTTTTATACATTAATGTTAACTAAAATCCTGAATCCTTATAGACTCAGTTTCTACCCTTTGTTACAGGTTTTTGTGTTTTTAATCATTAAATCTAGAAAACGAACTTCTTTCTGATGCGAAGGTACAAGTTTTTAACTTTCAGTCACAAAGTACCTTCTGAAAGGTTTGTGGTTGATAAAAATATTACTCCATTAATGAAATGATTTGTTACTGATTGGAGTAAATCACTGCCATTTGTTACAAAGCAAGAATAAAGACCTTTCTAAGATGTTTTAAAGAAACGAAAATTCTGTTCATTCTTAGAAATATTACACAGCCACAGTGAGTCTTTTCATGGTAGGTGCTGGACAGAAATTCTTCAGCTGCGCTAGAAGACTGGAGAGATTTGATGATGGGTAAGATCACTGCCCTAGAATTGCTTTGCTAGCTTTAGGATTAACCCCCACCAGTATGAAGGAGAAGTGTTTGGGTGTGGTACAGGACTGTCATCCGGCCCCTCTGATCCGCAGTTTTTCTTTCTGCCATTTCAGTTACCCACACGGTCGGCTGCTGTCCAGCCTGGAGGTAGGTTACCCTCAGCCTAACAGCTTCACAACACCTGCGTCCTTCCCCTCACTTCATCTCATCGTGTAGGCATTTTCTCATCACAAGAAGCAGGGTCATATTTTGAGAGAGAAAGAGAGCCCACATTTACATAACTTGTTTTACAGCATATTGTTACAATTGTTTTATATTCTTTTTTTTTTTAAGAATTTATTTATTTGACAGAGAGAGACACAGCGAGAGAGGGAACACAGGCAGGGGGAGTGGGAGAGGGAGAAGCAGGCTTCCTGCTGAGCAGGGAGCCCGATGCGGGGCTCGATCCCAGGACCCTGGGATCATGACCTGAGCCGAAGGCAGATGCTTAATGACTGAGCCACCCAGGCGCCCCTTGTTTTATCATTCTTGTTAATCTCTTAAAAATCTCTTACTCTTATAAATCAACTTTATCATAGGATGCATGTATAGGGAGAAACAGTACTTTTAGGGTTTGGTACTAATCGTGGTTTCAGGCATCCACTGGGGGTCTTGGAACATCCTCCTCAGATGAGGGGATGGGCTGCTGTGTTTATACAACTCCAACATAGACGGAATGACCAGTGAATATGAATTTCTTGTACCCAATACAAGGTCAAGATCTTTCAGAGGACCTTAAAAATAATTTACTTTGGAGGCTTTCCTTGCCACAGGAAGCCAAAACTGTCTGAAACTTACGTTAGCAAAACCGAGAAGCACTTCCCTAAGTTGGAAGTCTAGAGCTGCCTTTCTTCAGACGTTTGCGTTCATTTTCTTGCGTAGGGAAGTACTGGGGGAGAGAGGCTCTAGGAAAGCTGTGGACCTGCCTTACCAGAGAATTGCTACACCACTGGATGATCTGCAATGTGAATAGTTAAGAATTAGGCAAACCTGCTGAGTACTTGACATTACATGTTTCCCCCACTATCTGAAATTAAATGTTCCTATAAAACCTTTTATAAGCTGAAAAGCCATAAAGCAAAGAAGCAGTTAAAAAGTGAAAATCCTCTTCAGATTTGTTTTGGTTAACAAAAATGGATAGTAATGTGGGTCTTTCATAAAAGCAAAGTGGTACAAAGCAAACTTTTGGACAGTGGAGGTAACCTGTCTTCCATTTTCCCAGCCTTGAAGGATAGGTGCTAAGGTGAAAGTACTTGGTTTGGCTGGCAGCTCAGTTAAAATGGCATGTCATTCTTTCTATATGGGATTTTATCGAAGGGATTCCCTTGCAAAGCAGGTTTTTAGCAAGAGTAAAGAAGGCTAGAATAATTAGGTTTTGAAAATCGGTACAGGTATATTATTACACTTCAAATTATTCCTTTTTTAATTATTTTTTAATTAACATATAATGTATTATTTGTGATTCATCAGTCTTAACACCCAGCGCTCACCACAACACATACCCTCCCCAGTTATTCTTATCAGTGGCTCTCTTCGCCTGAAAACCAGACAATGGTTCTCAATAGGCTACCAGTTCTCAATATGCTCCCCCCATTCCTGGTCCCACTTAAATTTCTACTTCTATCATTCCAAAAGTTTTTGTAAATAATGGGGATTAGGGGTGTTTATAATATATAGTGAACATCTTTTTCATGGCAGTGTACTTCCACAACATAATTCAGCTGCAGTAATCTTCTGTTCTATGGCTAGTCCATACTTAGCGTTTCCTGTTAGTTATTGAGTAACTGGGCAGGGGAGCACTGATGAATTAGGAAGGGACATTGAAAAACCTAATGAGACTCCAGTTAATGAAGATTAAGAATAGCTGTTTTCTTGGGGCGCCTGGGTGGATCAGTCAGTTAAGCGTCCAACTCTTGATTTTGGCTCAGGTCATGATCTCAGTTGTGAGATGGAGAGCCTGCTTAAGATGCTCTCTCTGCCCCTCCCCCACCAAAGAAGAACAGCTGTTTTCTTTAAACTGCCGTATTTTCCTTCTTGGATATCATAGAGTAATCATTCCCTTAAAGGATCTTCAAGCTGACCATGAGAAATCATTGAAAATTGTGAAAGAACTCTATGTTCTTGCCATTTGGGATTTTCTGTGCTGCCTCTGTAGTGATGTTCATCTGCTTTTACATTTTAAAGGGAGCATTTGTACACCAATGCAAGAGAACCTTCTTAGGGAAGGTAAGTGTTTGGATACTTCCGATAATAAGTGGAGTTCACCGATGAGAGGTGGGGATTGGGAGGACAAAGAGGAAAACAGCCGAAGAGAAACCATAGATTTCCAGGCTTTCGGCGTGTTCTGTAAAGGTCTAATGGAAAATGGAGGTGTGAAACCTGATGCCTAAGTGAGTTCCTGCTGCCTTTGTGTTTTAAAATTAAAATCTCCAATCTCAGAGTGTGCAGAAAATGCCTTAAACATGAAAGTCTTAAGAAGGAGCTGTGATAGCTGAATATTCAACAGCAAAAAACTGAAAAGAACTGGCTTGGTAATAAGACGCTTGCTAGTTTGAAATGGGAAATGAAGGCCAAGATTATATAAATCTTTGTTCAGTGCCTACCAGCAACATTTCAATGTTTACCCAAAGCCTCTAGCAGGGTTATGCATAATTTATTGCATACATTAATATTGAACATCAAGATGGGGAAGGTCATTCTCACCATCTTAAAGGCTGTACGAAACCTCAAAATACAGGTATGACCTATGCCCAGCGATGATGGAGGGGCTGTTAAGTTAGAACGTTCTTGGATAAGCCAATGGCAGTTAGCATGTACTAACTGAAACACGAGAGGATTTTTAAAACGTGATCCTGGCACCGTAAGAATGCGATAATTAGTATTTGAAACTGGGAAATAAATTGTAGGGATTCCTCTTTCAAAGCGCCAAGGTTCGTATCTTCCATGACATTTCCCAAGATCAAAGGCAAACTGAAAATTGTGACATTACCTGTTGCTGCAATTTCAGGGGAATTACCGAGACATCATAACAAGTGACCTGAATGTGGTAGAGATTTCACATCTACCTGAGTTATAGATGTAATGTGCTGAAATAAGGAAACTAGGCATCGTACTTTAAAGATAAATTTACAACTAGAAAAATAAGATTTCAAAAAGGATTGGTAGCTTGTGGATTTGGCTAATGCTGACCATGTATGTGTAAATAACCTTTATTTAAAGTCTTCAAGGTTCACTGTTGGGTGACAATTAGAAGAATATGGTAATAGAGTTAATAAGAAATAGCCAGGCCTATTTATTATTAAGAAGTAGTTAATATCATTTGTGAAGAAAAAGCTTCTGAAAGTAAGACTAATTTAAAACCACAGAGAAAAACAGGAGAGATGGGCCAGTTCATTTCTTCCATGTTGGTGGAGTCTGCAAGAACTTGCTGGAAATAATTTTAAGAATTGCGTATGTGTGAAAATAATTGTGTGGGTGCCTGAAAGCCACTCGTAAAGCTACTTTCTTAAAACAGTCTCTACTACCTCAGCTGGGGACTTTTTTTCTGTATCTGACTACTGATAAAAACCAAAAATAGATTATGAATGGGTTCTTGGTTGGGTTTGAATTCAGTGGAGCTTTCCTCCGTTAGTCCATACATTGCCGAATTTGTACTTCTTGAGAAGTACGTTCTTCTTTCCGCACGTGTTAAGTCACCAGTGGTATGGCTTAGGATGTTCCTTTTTAATTCTGGAAGTCCCAGTTGTCTAGAAGCTAGACATACCTTCCCAGGTTTGTCTTTTTGGTACATGGAAAAGGTTCGCATTCTGAGAGCCACCGTCTCATTTCGAAGTTGAGGAAGCAATCTCCAAAAGTCTCATTTTCCTGGTCTATCCCAGTGGCTTCTCTTGATCCACATGAAAACCAAAGAAATCTTATTCTCATGCCTGGAAGCTTGCGGTGAGGACTCAAGTCAGGATCACATTTTATGTTTTCTCTTCCCAGACAGGTGATTCCTAGTGCTTTGTGGAAAATACAGCCTCAGGTCAAAGATTGTGGTCAAGGATTACAGAAATGGTCCTTTCGCTTTTACTTTCTTTACTAATAGATCAACCTTGCTTGCTGTTATTCCATTTCCTCAACCCTTTCGGTGACCTCCTTCAGCTCTTGACCCTACCTCTTTTAACTTTGCCAGGAATAACATTCTTCCACCATCCATTCCATCACCATTTGGACACCCTTAGGTAAATCTTTCCAGGTAAAAGAGGGAATCAAATGGACTCCAAGTCTGTCGGTAGAACACTGACAGGAAGTGAGCATGCCACCTTGTAGACTACATCTCATTTTTTAGTCATCTCCCATGCTCTCCTGGTCATTTCACCTTGGAAGCTGCTTCTGGACTAGGCCCACAAAGCTTATTTTTCAGTTTTGGATTCTGTTTCAAGTTCCCTTGTTTTCTGGCTTTGATAAGAGGGCATCTCATCCCATATTTTGCGGATTGTATACTTTGAGTCTCATTTTCTTTATCTGTAAAATGGGAATAATTAGCTGTGAGGAGTGCATGAAACTCCAGAAACAAAGCTCTAGAGATGCTGAGGTGACTAATATGCATTCCTGAGTAGCATCCCTCTTGTTCTGGTTCTTCTTAAAACCCAGCACAGCCCTGAGAAAATAGGAAGTGCAGCTAAAGAGCAATGTAAACCAAAAGTAAAAAACCTTTGGGTTTTAAAAACACTACCTTTAGTTGGGTGACCCATTCAGTACAAAGTGAATTCAGGCGCATAATCTTACTTCATCTTTACTGCAGCCCTAGGGGTGCAGGGACACTTCTTTCCATTTTGCAGGGGAAAAAAGCTGAGGCTTAAAAGTTTAACTAGCTTAAAGTAAAAATAAAAATCCCCAAATCTAAAAGCATTTTCAGAAAGATTATACAACTGAGATGTGAGCATTTTTCATTGAACTCTGTCTGGTTCCAGGATTCCTGGGCACCCCAGTCAAAGATTCCAATAGCACTTCTTAATACAATAGGGTTACTTTGTATTCTCAAACTGTCATGACCATGAGGGACTTGGGCTGGGCTAAGCCACCAATTCTAGTTTCAGAATTGATGTGTGGACTCCTCTTGAGCACCAAAGTGCTCTGCCAGCAATTCAACTGTCAAAAATTGGCCGAAACTATGTTCAAGTCAGGACTGTTACTTAGGTTTTTAATTTCATCTTGAAGGCCCTAGGATGAGTAGATATCCACCAGATACCTTTGTTGACATTCTAAGGAATTCGTCTTTCCCGAATCATGGAAACTTCCCTTTACTTAGTGCTTTATAGTCTCTTAGTATGTAGTTTGCCTTATCCTAGGAAAAAAATTAAAATAGAGGGATGGGGGGGGCGCCTGGCTAGCTCAGTCGGTGGAGCATGCAACTTTTGATCTTGGAGTTTTGAGTTCGAGCCCCACGCTGGGTGGAGAGATGACTTAAAAACAAAATCTTTTTTAAAAGATTTAAAATGACAGATGGACCTCATCTATTACAGTATGTGATGCCCTTTTTTCTTTCCTGGACCCCACTGCAACTTCCAACTGCTTTCTCATTCTGCCCATCTTATTTCTATCGCTTTTTCACATCTGACCAAAGAGCTTAAGTCAGTCCACTGATCTCGGAGTATTAAGTCAGAATCCAGTTTCTCTAACTTAACTCTGTATGTATGTTATGACTGCTAAACCCTTATTGAGAAGAGGATTCCTCTTCCAGGGATATTTGCAGGAGTTTTCATTTGCTGCCAGATTCCAGACTTGTAAATCTCTTTGCTTCCCTCCTTCCCCTCATCTGGGTGGGCGAACCCCAGCTTCTCCCTTGTTTCCACCTCAACACTACTGACATTTGGAGCAATAATTGGGAGGCGGGGTGAGCTGGGGCTGTCCTGTGCATTGTAGGATGTTTAGGAACATCCCTGTTCTCTACCTACTTGTTAGTTGTACAAAAGCATGCACGCGTGCACACATCCACCCAATTGCAGCAATCCAAAATGTCTTCGGACACGGGCAAAATTGCTCCATTGGAGAACCGTTGCTTTAGATAAACATTCGACCAAGCCCTCATTTAGCCAGTCAACCTGAGCAAGTCCTAGGTACTAGACATTCTATGGGCAAGTGACAGAAAACTTTTTAAATGGTTAAAATAGCCACCATTTATGAGTATTTGAGTGAAGCATGCTATGAAGTCTTTATATAGTCGCCTTTAATCCTTAAACTCTGTGAGGGGAGTACCCCCTCTTTTACAGATGAGAAGACCATCTCAGATGAATGCACCTGCCTGAGGTCACACGCTGAGGGGCAGACCTGGCGTTCACCCCATTGGTGGGACTCCGAGGCCCTCCTTCACCCCTGCTCTGTACTGCTTCCTTGCCCTCGAGCAGTTTACCTTCCATTGGGATAAGCCTCAGGCCCCCTTCTTTATGAAGCCTTCTCTTGGCCCTTCCAGGGACTCAGAGATCTCTCTGCTGACAGATGCCAGACCACTGTGCCCCAACAGCTGGCTTTGTAGCTCACCAGGTCCTCCCTGTTCCACTTGCCACCTAGAATAGGCTGTCCATGAGGCAGGGAGCCGCCATCAAGTCACCTCAAAGTCTATTTGGTCAAAGATACTATGCTGTTTGTGGAGCAAACAATGAAGGACTCAGCTGCCTAAAAAAAAAAAACCTATCTTCTGGGTGCTAAGATTTTACTTGAAAAGTTAGGACATCTGCACCTTTCTGAGAAGTCTCATTTTTCTGTGGTTTATCCATTTG